AATAATAATAATTTGCTTATATGGCATTTACTTTTACTTTCTCTCCCCCCTCTTGGCAGGATGTGAAGTGATAGCTGTCAACACACGTTCCACTAGCCAAACATTTATTTATAAGTGTGATGCTGTTCTGTGTACTCTTCCTTTGGGTGTGCTAAAACAGCAGCCTCCTGCAGTACAGTTTGTCCCTCCTCTTCCAGAGTGGAAGACATCAGCTGTGCAGAGGATGGGATTTGGAAACCTTAACAAGGTAACTTGAAAGGCACAAAGCTATATGTTGGCAGAGGAGTGAGGTCATAGCTATATCCTTACCTGCCACTGGAATGGATGGAAGGTGTTTTTTTTCTTGGTTTCTTTCCACAGCTGAGAATAAGATGCAGAAATATTCAGAGAGGCAAAAGGGCCCATTAAGATTCTCCTTAGGAGGCCTAGAAATGAATATTTCTTCTCATAAGACAGAAGGATTCTGTTCTTCCCTTTCTGCTTTAGATGCTGGAATTGGCTCACGTCTGAGGCACTGGCATATAGAACTATTGCATCCATAGCTTCCACTTTCTTTCCATTCATGTCTGTTAGTATCAGTGGACCTTGGATGCAGGCTGGAATTTCCAAGAATTCGTGTGTAGCTCATAAACTTTGCTGTATAATCTTTTGGGGATGTGTGAATCTTGGTGTTACACAAGTAAGAGGTATATAATTAGGTGTGGCTGTGTCACTCTTGAAATGTTTTCTGGGGGAAAAAAGAACATCTCTCTAACATCTACAGTGTAACATAACCGAAGAACATTAAACTTTCTGGGATCGTCACCAATGTTCACTGTAATTTTCTGCCTGGCTGCGCAGGAGCCTCGCCCCACTGAGGGGTGGCGAGGTTTCTTCTGAAAGTGGAAGTAAACAAGACAGCTGCTGGTGAGCAGCCCTGATGAGCGTACAGCTTAGAGGGAACATTGATGCTCACTTTTTCCACCTTTTTAGGTTGTGCTGTGCTTTGACCGTGTGTTCTGGGATCCGAGTGTCAATTTGTTTGGTCACGTTGGCAGCACGACGGCCAGCAGGGGAGAGCTTTTCCTGTTTTGGAATCTTTACAAAGGTAGTTGCACCAAAGCATGCTTTGATTTGTTTCCATAACATGAGCATCACAATCCCTTAATATGTCTTAAGTAACCATTAGCAAGTACAGTATTTCAGACTGAGGCCAACACAGCCTCTTGAAACAAAACAAGCTCCATGAAGTATTAAACAGCACCTGTTTAACTTGCAAGGTCAGATGTATTTGAGGCCTGTTCTCAAATCTTTCTTCACGATAGGGAAAGAGATCAGATTCATTTGGGCTTTATTAAAAGCCATTCAATCTCACCAGTTCTGCAGGCTTTTGTGTAACAAAGTAAAACCTGCAGATACGTTGAAAATGGGAAGATGCCTGTAAAATGCTGCTGTTTCTCAGGCTGATGAAACTTGCTACAGTGGTGCCCAACTTGACGATGATAATCCATTCCAGGAAAATCGCTGTTAAGCAAAATCGGCGTCAAGTGTTTATTAAAAGCCATTCAATCTCACCAGTTCTGCAGGCTTTTGTGTAACAAAGTAAAACCTGCAGATACGTTGAAAATGGGAAGATGCCTGTAAAATGCTGCTGTTTCTCAGGCTGATGAAACTTGCTACAGTGGTGCCCAACTTGACGATGATAATCCATTCCAGGAAAATCGCTGTTAAGCAAAATCATCGTCAAGTGAAAAAAAAATCCCAATTGGAATGCATCGAAAACCGATTAATGCGTTCCAATGGGGAAATACCTCATCGTCCAGCGAAGATCGCCCATAGAGAACCGCCGATCAGCTGTTTAAAATCGCTGTCTTCCAAAGCAGGGGTCCAGAAAGCAGCCATTTTGCGAAGGGAGGGAAGCCATTTTGCGGAACCGGAAAAATCATTGCTTAATGAACAAATGATTTGCGAAGCAGGCTCCTAATCAATGTAATGCAAAAAAAACCCCATTGAAACCATCATTTTGCAATCGCAATATCGATCACAAAAAACTCATCATCAAGCGATTTCGTTGTCTACTTGCAATCGCAATAGCGATCACAAAAAACTTATCAAGCGATTTTGTCGTCTACCAGTCGTCAAGCGGGGCACCACTGTATATTTATTTGAACAAATATATCTTATTGTGAACCATTGAAACTGCAGCTGTGTAGGCATATATATTGTGTCAGTGATGCTGGGAGGAAGCAGGCTGTCTAGCAAGCTGCTTCACAGAATGAACCATTGAAACTGCAGCTGTGTAGGCTTATATATTGTATCAGTGATGCTGGGAGGAAGCAGACTGTCACAGAAAAGGGCTTGATTAGTTGAGCCCCACATCCGCTGTGTTCCCATTGCAGGAAGCTACCTTATACCATGTTAGGCGGTTTGTCTAGTTCAGTGCTGTTTCCTCTGTTAGTGGCTTTCCAGTGTCTCAAGCAGGGGTCTTTCCCTTCACCTACTCCTTGATCCTTTGAAAAGGAGCCTGGAATCAAACCTTGTATATCATGGGTTCTGCCCCTGAGCTTGCCCGCCCCCCATCACACCCGTAGCTGCTCTATGACAACAATATGAGTAAAATGCTTTGAACTTCATAGCTTCCATCTAAAATCCAGTAAACTGCAAGTAGAGTAGACCCGCTGAATCAGTGGAACTTATGGAGGAGCTGACTCACCAAATCCCCACTGATTCAGCGGGCCTGCTCTAGTTGTGACTTACTACTAGAGTTCAGCCACTATGAGGAAGATGAGGTGTAGATGAAATTCCCTTTTCTTCATTCTGCATTGGAGGTGGTGTATTTAATCAGATTTGGCTTGAAAATGCACACATAAAATGAATTGGAAGCTTGGACTTCTCGCCTCCAAACCGAAATGTCTGGAACCCAGCACACTCCATCATCTCTGATCACCGAACCTTGTCTGCTGATGATGAATTTCCTCCCTTAAATCTCAGAGGGTTTTGTAAGTCTTTATCAGGATGCAGAATCTGTTCTGCTTTTGAAGGAGTTTGCCAGAGATGCTTGGAAACACTCATAAACTAAAGACTCATAAAAGTCTTTAACTGCTAGACAAGTATTGATGTGTTTAAAAGTAGGCTGTTGGTGCATTACTAATAATTCTTTTCCCTTCCTACATAGCACCTATTCTGCTGGCCTTGGTGGCAGGTGAAGCAGCTGGAATCATGGAGAATATTAGTGATGATGTAATTGTCGGGCGCTGCCTTGCTATTCTCAAGGGCATTTTTGGTAGCAGTGCAGTCCCTCAGGTATTTATTGTGTTCACTTGTTATAGTTGCATCTGGACCAGGATCCTAATTAGCCTTTTATTTGTCATTATCAATGTATAGCACTGATAATTATATCAATACTGGATTGAGATAAGAAACGAGGTCCTTCAGATAGTGTGGGATCATATCTTCTATTTAACCCTAGCCAGCATAGCTTAGGGTCAATGGATGATGGGACCTGTAGTTCAACATCTGTTGTATCTTGTAATGTTCTACTGTTTGATTGTAATGACTTGATGTGTTGTGAATAGAGATGGGGGTATTCTTATATGAATACCAGTACACCCACACAGGTGGACCTAACGAGGGTCCAGTCCCCTGGGGCTGGATGGTCCACTCACCTTCCACTGTTGCCACAGGCTCCGCGCTCCCTTCCTATCACTCCAGAGCTTGGGGTTGGCAAGCCACTCTTTGACCTGGCAGGGAGGCTTGTGTCCCTCCTCCTAAGGACCCTCGTTAGATCCACCTGTGTTAGGGTATTCGTATTCATATACGAATACCGCCATCTCTAGTTGTGAGCCACCCAGAGTGGGGTGGTATAGAGATTAACTCCTGCCAACCTAGCAGTTCAAAAGCATGTAAATGTGAGTAGATAAATAGGTACCACCACGGGCTACGTGACCAAGGAAACTGTCTATGGATGAACGCTGGCTCTACGGCTTGGAGACAGGGATGAACACCGCGCCCGAGAGTCAGACGCAACTGGACTAAATGTCAGGGGAAACTTTTACCTTTACCTTATAGAGGTTAAAATAATAAACAAGCACTCCTCGTTGCCAGCCTAGATGCTGCTGAAATCTTTTGTGCTAGCTGCCTGTGTAACTTGCTCAAGTGTTGTAACTTCTGTAGGGGAATTTATTTTATTGGAATAAATCTTTGAGCCTAGAGAGGATCTGTCCCTAAAATAAAGTTGTGTTGAAGCCGCTGTTGAGTTGCATAAGGACACCTCTTCAGGTTTTCTTGGTTTCCACCAGCTGGAAAGAACCGTCTAGCTGGTGTGAACTCCCTGCCCATTTTCCTCGCTTTTTCATCCCTCAGGAGGCTCTTCTTTTCTGTTTTGCAGAGAATGGAGAACAGAAAAGCAAAACAACACCTTCTGTCCTTTAAATTGAGTACATCAGTATTGCTGCTGTTGTAACATTATATCTATTACACTCATACAAATAATGTGGACTGTGAAATTAGATCTCACTTAACTTGGGGAGAGGGGAATATTTTCTGCAACTTGAACAGACAACCTCAGGGAGGTTTTTACAGGATTTTACTTACTCATAATGCACTAGGTGTGTGACTCCCCCTCCAAAGAACTATATGCTGACTCAGAATCTAGTCTCTCACAACAAAGATTGAGTTAGAAGAGTGTGCAGAGAGTTATATGTAGGGATGTCTTCGCACTTTTATTATTAAAAACCATTTATTTTGCTTGTTTTTATTAATGCAATCCATCTTGAGTTCTGGTTTGAGAACCAAAGTAGGGTATAAGTGGAAATAGTAATAATTCTTCGAAGTGACTCACTAGGTAAACTGGCCGTGGTGTCCCTATCCTATTGCTCACTCCTAAAAACCGTCTTCTTGGGAACCAGAAAAAAGGTATTTCCTGTACTGTGTAAAAAGACATGGAGTCAGTATCAGTCTGTGCCTCGGGTACCCTATTTGGGTTGTTACATGATCTTAGGCATCTTGAAATATTTTTGGCCAGAGTCAGTCATCATATATTTCTAGTACTTTCAAGGTTTTCCCTTTCTTGCAGATTTTTCAATGTGTTCTTTGTGAGTGTGTATAGACATCAGCTTTCTGTCCCTTCTAGGTACAGTGGTGCCTCGCTTAACAGGCGCCCCGTTTAACGACGAAATCGCATAGTGACGAAGATTTTGTGATCGCTTTTTTGATCGCATTGAGGTGTTTTAAATAGGGGGAAATTGCTTTGCAATGATTGGTACCCTGTTTCGCTTATCGATCATCACATAGCAATGATTTTTTAACAGCTGATCGGCTGTTCCAAAATGGCCGCTGGGTTTAAAAAATAGCCGCCCGCTGTTTTCTGGGACAGATTCCTCGCTTACCAGGCAGCGAAAATGGCCGCCATATGGAGGATTTTCGCTTTAAGGTGAGTTTTAAGCCCATAGGAACACATTGAAGGGGTTTCAATACATTCCTATGGGCTTTTTAATATCGCATAGCGACGAAATCGCTTTGCAGCGATTTTTGCTGCACGGATTATCGTCACTATGCGAGGCACCACTGTATCAGGGACTCCTTAGATCCATAGTGAAAGTAGTTCCCTTTTGATACCTAAACCACTGTCATGCCTTTGTTTTCCCTCTTTTCTGTTTTGTCCTCAGCCCAAGGAGACAGTCGTATCACGTTGGCGGGCTGATCCTTGGGCCCGAGGGTCCTATTCCTATGTAGCAGCTGGATCTTCAGGAAATGACTATGACCTGATGGCTCAGCCAATAACTCCAGGACCAGCCATTCCAGGAGCTCCACAGGTGAGAACAGGAATAGCAGGAATCGGTTCTTTGGGATCTCTGGTGTGATCCTGGCACTCTTTGCCATGAGCATTTATTTATCCTAATAAGACATACATTTTTTTCTTACATTAATTGGATGTATGTGAGGAAGTTACATTGTCTTGTGAAGATATAATTCCACTATAGGAATGCATTGATTTTTGGATGAAAACAACTAAATCAGGGTTATTTTTTGCAATTTTTGAGCTAGTACAGGGAAAAGCAAATAGCCACTGGTGGCCCACATGGTAGGATGCACCTTGATCTTTCAAATTCAGTTCAACATTCATGAGGTCAAATTATATTAAAATGCTCTGCATTGTGGGGTTTGTCAGAATTAGTGCACTAGAGCAAGACTTTTCTTTTCCCTTCTCCCTCTTTTTTTAACTTGTTAAGAGTGTTGTTGCAGAATACCCCACCTGCTCATCTTTGTGCTAAAATATTGCCTGTATACAGGACTAAAATTCCCCAGTGTTTTGAGGATTTAAGATCTGCCAGATCTCCAAAACTGTGCAGCCCAATCCCCAACCTATGTCATTGTTGACATGTTTGCAGCAACGTGTATTTTTATCAGGATCAAGAAACAGACACACACAGTCAAGCATCCAGACAAGTACCAGATCAGAGAGGGTCACCAGAAGGACACAGGGTGGACTTGGTACCCAGCTGCACACCCTTATTCAAATACAGAATGGGTTATGGCACATGGCTAGTTTTGTGCACATCTCTGACCTTCAGATGATCTGTTTGTCCATGGCAGTTTTGTCCCTTAGTTCTTCAAATATTTTTTGCCCCGAACAACTTGATAGGTTGCCATTTCTTAACATGTTAGGAGTAAATGAATGCTGAGTGGTATGCAGGCCACAGAGGTATGCTGGTCCTTGTCATACATGCTCTTGGTCACTCTTAGTTGGAAATGGTCTGTTAAATCACTGGTTCTTAACCTTGGGTTACTCAGGAGTTTTGGACTGCAACTCCCAGAAGCCTTCACCACCAACTGTGCTGGCTGGGGTTTCTGGGGGTTGCAGTTCAAAAACATCCGAGTAACAAAGGTTAAGAACCACTGTGTTAAATGAGTAATGGGGAAATGGAAAACAGGCTTCACTTCTGTGATTTTGTGTGCAAGCTGTAGTCTATAACTTAAGTAAATTTTGGAAACTAGTTCTTAGTGGAAAGTGAGACTGGAGACTGTTTTGTTTGAGGAATTATGCCCTTAACTCAGTACACGCCTTGAGACAATAATACATTTGGGCTCAGTCATTCTGTCCAAGTAGATGTGGAAACCTTTGCCAGTATAGCCTTGTTTGAAACACTGAACATATTTTCTGGTTTATAGCAACATGTGGCCAAATCAGCACTAAAACAGCTCCACTTTTTCAGTAGGTGAAACAGTATGAATAATCACTTAACATCCAGAAATGAACCCTGAAAGCATTCCCTGTTTCCTGTTTGACTGATTTGCCATTACCTGGGAAATGTAGCTATTCCTATAGAGAACATGCATCATTCACGTTTGGGGAAAGCATTTGTGGAAATACAACTTTGCTTCTACCTGCCTTGATTTTGCAGGTGTTATCCTTGGCAGGTTTTAAGGGAGCCTGGCTGACATTGCCAACCTGTTTCTTTTTCCAGCCAATTCCTCGTTTGTTCTTTGCTGGGGAGCACACAATCCGCAACTATCCTGCGACTGTACATGGAGCTTTGCTGAGTGGACTGAGAGAAGCGGGACGCATCGCAGACCAATTTCTTGGTGCAATGTACACTCTGCCTCGCCAAACAACTCCCGTGGCAACTGCCCAGCAAGCTCCTCCTATGTAATGATGCAAGATGCCACCAATGGCCTCCAAATATCTTTCATTGGCCTGTGGTTAGAAGCAAGTGGCCTTCTTTTTCCTGTTAGAAAATGGTAGCTTGGAGTCAACAGCATTACCCTGTTGAATGGCCTCCCAGCGGCGTCTCCATCATCTGAGAAAGCGGTACTTTATGCCCAGCCCAGTTCATTGGAATGGTGCTCGTGCTTCCCAGAATGCAGACTCCTGGTCTCTCAAGTGGGACCTGTTTTGGTATACATGTGGCTTTGGTTCCGTTTCTTCCCAGGTTTAGAACTCTTGTATATTAGCTGCTGTTAGTAATTAAGGTGACATTGTCTCGTGTGGATTTTTACCCCAGGAAGTAAAAATAATGTTTGTTTGTTTTTTAAAAAAGCACACATAACCACTAAAATCACCAGAGATGTTCTTTTTGGTCTTGAGTATGTCCTGTTGTCTCCTGTATGCAACTAAAAATTAGAAACTCACACCAGTTAGTTGGGAGCATTCCTCTTTATTTGTCTATGTCGTGCTTAGTTAAGTGTATTTAAACTGGAAACTCCTGAGATATACATAGATATGCACTGGAATTGGGTAATTTGCATTTGGTTCTTGTCAGGGCACTGAAGAGGTGGATATACTGTTGATTGAGATAGAGTTTTAATTGGAAGGATAAAGAAATAATTGGTCAAAATTTGTATTTTTGTGAAATAATTTGATATCAATTAATGCTTCTCAATCTATGCAAGGCTGTAGTACTGCGTTTCCCTAAAAATAAGACAGGGTCTTATATTAATTTTTGTTCCAAAAAACGCATTAGGGCTTATTTTCTAGGGATGATTTTTTTTCATGTACAACAATCTACATTTATTCAAGTGCAGTTATGTAATCTGGTTGTTGCACAATGGTGGAGGGTAGGGTTTCACTTAACTGGGACTTTTTGGGGGGTAGGGCTTATATTACGAGCATCCTGAAAAATCATACTAGGGCTTATTTTCGGGGAAACGGTATTTTAGGGCCTGTCTATCATCTATTCACTGCCCTTCATTCAAGAGCAGACTTTTTTTTCAGTGACCTTGAGTGCTCATGGCACAGAATTCAATTCTACCTGATTCAGCACAGTATGCTTGATATGCACAAAGCCATGTTCTTTTGGAAATGTTTATTCTATTGTTGGGCTTGGTTTCTGAGAAATTAAAACCATACAGTTTCATACATACTCCAAATGGGCTGGAGCTGTATCAGCACACACTAGTGGGATGTGGAAAACTGGCCATATAGTCTTCTCTCCTAGGAACTAGATGTGTTCTGTCTCAAAGGTATTCACACATTTGAATAACATACAAATAGTTTTATTGAGTATGTACTGTAGAACAGACAGTATTAGTCAGAAGATAACATGCAGACAAACATTTGTGTTGAAACATAGCATGCAGACATGTTTCTCTGTGTAACTAGCAGGTTAAGTCCTGCCTGCTGTTCAGTGGACAGGCATGTTTGGAAGGTGTAGGAGCTGGGCTTTCCCTTGTCTGAACATGCTACCATTACAGTGCTTCTGTTTGAGTTGGGGTAGCGTGATCGGGACAGTGCTGGTAGGATGCTGGGTTTTAGGAGGCTGCATGTTCTGAATTGTACTTCCTGTTTCTTAACCCAAAAATGGGGGGGGGGAATAGAAGACAGGAGATGCTCATTTGCCTTTTGCACAGAAGTCTCAAAATTTGGCAATCCCTTTCCACCTAGTCTTAACATTAGCAAATAGAAAAATATATTTTCATCTCTTAAAAATACATTCCACACCATCTGTAGGATTCTTAAGGGTTAATAAATGGCAAGAAGACCAACATGGCTTTCCCTTTGGGCAGATGTAGAAGACATACTGTGTTTCCACAGCTACAAAAAGAGTGAGCAGATCCTTTGGTCTCTAGCCAAGAGGAAAGAAAAAGAGGAGGAAGGGTGGCACCGTTGTCCCTTTTCCCTCTTTGGATATCAAATTGGGGTTTCAAGCAGCAAAATCTCCTATGGCCTCTTCCAGTGATGCCTAGGGTGGAGAGATAGCATCAGGTAAGCCTTGCTGTATTATGACACCCACCTAAGACTGAGTGAGGAATGATTTCAAAGTCTGAGACATTGCCCTGCTGCTATATACAGTGATGCCTCGCTTAACGAGCGCACTGTTTAACGACGAATCCGCATAGCAACGTCACAATTGCAATCGCAAAAGCAATCACATTGCGATGTTTAGATAGGGAAAAAATCACTTTGCAACGATCGGTAAGCGTTTTGCTTACCAATTTTCGCATAGCGATTTTTAAAAAACAGCTGATCGGCGGTTCCAAATTGGCCACCAGGCGCCCAAAATGGCCGTGCGCAGCGTTTTTGCGCCCTGCCCTCGTTTACCAAGGGTGCAAAAATGGCGGCGCTATGGGGAAACTTCGCACAACGGTGAGTTTAGGAGCCATAGGAACGCATTAAACTGAGTTTAATGTGTTTCTATGGCGTTTTCAGTTCCGTATAGCGATGTTTCCCCATAGCGACGGTTACTCCGGAACGGATTAACCTCGCTATGCGGGGCACCACTGTATACAGGTTTCTTCTGACTTATGGCTAAACCCCTAAATTATTGGCACTCAGACATCAATTATATCACAGAATCAGAAATGGAACTCTTAATGGGATATGAATTTATGATGAAGCTGCCTCATACTTGGTCATCTCAATGATTGCTCACTCTGAATGGCAGCCACTCTCTCAACCTGGGATTGTTTTCCACGCATAACTGCTGTTCAGCCACCACATTATGGCCTCTTCCTAGGTCTTGACAAGACCTGCATATTTACCTTTTTCAATGAAGGGGAGATTAAGGAGCAAGGTTGATGAGGCTATACTGTGCAGGCTATATACGAAGATAGCTCTCCTGTTCTTCCAGTTGAAAGAAGATGGATTTTTAACAGGGAAAAGAAGGGAATTAGCATTTGCAGCATATACAGTTGCAACATGGGGGGTGATTTCACACACATTTTTAGTGTGAGAAGGTCCCTGTGGGATCCATTATTGTATTTATGTATTTATGCTATTGCTAAAAGCAAATATCAAGTTGCCAAACTACATATTTACAGATACACTTTAGTTTGTTTTCTTAAAAGTGTGTAGGTTGAGCTGAACAAATATCCAATTCCTGAAAACACCATTTACGTTCAACAATACAGTCAGCTTGTATTGCGCTCAGGGTTTGAGTATTTATGGATTTTTTAAAAAAATAATCTTCCCATTTTCATAGGATAATTAACCAGATGACATGTAACCTATACTATAATGATTATTTACATTCATTATCCATCCTAGCAAATGTTGAGCCTAATTATAAAATCATGATTAGAGGAAAGGTTCAGGGGGTAGGGAATCTTTGGCTTTCCAAA